CGAGGCGGCCCCTGCTGGGACCTGCTGGCCGGGTCCAGGCCCGCTGTCCAACGTCTCTGGGAGGGCGTGTGGGAAAGCCGGGGTGCCGGGGCGGGCCCGGGGTGCCGGTCCTGTTCCTGTCTGGGCCCGAGTGCCCAGAGGTGCCCGGGCCAGGCCGGGCGGGAGGCTGGACACAGCCCAGTGCGGGCTGAGCCCCCGGGGACGCGGCAGGGTCAGCGCCGCCCGCCCCCCGGTCAGCAGCGGGTGCCGGAGGCCGGGCCAGGCCGGGCGGGAAGTGCCCTGGCCGGGAAGTCCTGCCTCGCCTGCCCGCGGTGGGCATTGTTTCCCGGGCGGTGCGGGGCCCGGAGCTGGCGACGGAAGTGGCGCCTCCGCCCCCAGGACCCATCCCCCTGGCCCTGGAGCCTCGGGTGTCCTATACAAAAGGCGTTTTCGGCTGGGTTTTGCCAGACCCAGTGGTGAGGAACAGGGCGAACATCTGGAGGGGAGGAGCCGGGGGCTGGGCGGCTTAGGGGGCACATCTGCTCTAAGTAGGGCGCGTGCTCTGCCCGGGGCGGGGGCCAGCCGGGTGGGCAGTGCTCAGGCCCTGAGCTCAGGGCATCCCCGCAGGCCGGGGAAGAATGGCCTCTCCTCGCCAGCCTGAGCAGCGGCTTCCCTCCTTCACCTCTCCACTCCCAGGGGTGTCTCCTGCTCCCTGTTTCCTTCTCCTCAGCAAGTCGGGAGCAGGTGTGGAAATTCCAGGGGGAGGTGGCATGTGGGGCAGAGGAGGAGCAGGAGGAGGTGGCTCAGCTTGCCGCGAGTCACCGGCAAGGAGCAGGCTACAGCTCGCAAGGGCAAGCCACACTGTCCTCGTGCAGGGGCACTAGGCAGACACAGCCTTTTGGGGCCCAGGTCCCCCTCCTTGAGCTGTGCCAGCCCCAGCACCTTTCCACTTGGGCACAGACAGTGATGGATTCCGGTGCCAGTTAGAACGTGTCCCTGCTCAGCTCGTGCGGGAAAGAGAACAGGCAGGGACCAAGCACCTTTTCAGCATTCAGATGTCTGTCTCAGGTCCCTGGCATCTGCCTTCATAGGGCTGTGCCCGTGGGTACGATTGGCAGGTTGGCACTCCCCGTAGGGGAGGCACAGGTAGAATTAAAATGTCTGTCTCCTCCTCCTTGGTTCCAGCAGGCAGAGGAGTACAAGTTCTAGCCCAACTGCTGCCAGGGCTGAATGCTGGTTAACCGACCCCTAGCATCTCCCCGCGAGTACCCCTCCCAGCCCCAGTGGAATTACTAGACCTTTAATTTCTATCGGCAGCCTGGAGCTGCTCTCCAGTGTTGCTTGCAACTGGTTTCCTGCCCCAGCTGTCAAACCCAGCCCATGGCAGGACCCTCAGCCCTTCTCTGATGGCCATGGTGCCCCAGGGGACCAGGCGTGCCCCGGCAGGAAGATGCAGCCAGACCAGAACTCAGCTCTGGGTGCAGCCACTGCGTCTTTGAACATCTCGCTTCCCATCTTTGTTATTGTCTGGGCGGCAGGCCACCCGGTTTGCTGCCTTCTTCCCTTCGCCTGCCCCCCTCCCCTGCCTTCAGCTTTCTCCCCCAGGAACATGCCCTTCTCCACGATTTCCTTGGCAGGGGTCAGGACCCTCTGCACCCGCATGCGGGGGCTTGTGTACGTACCGGTCTTGTGTGCATGCACTGGTTGTCCTGGGAGCGGGAGAGACAGCCCTCAGCCCGACCTCTGCGTGTGTCTGCCCTCCCGAGAGCAGACAGCGTGCTTGCCGTGTTTACCTCCCTCCAGTGGGAAGCTGCACTGAGGGCCGGCGGGCGCTCTGCTGGCAACCCCGACTGGAGGTCGGGCATGGCCGAGATGACCTCATGCAAGTCCTGCCCAGCTTGGCCTGGGACCAGACTTGCCACATGCTGAAGGGGTGCTGAGTCGGGGGTTGAGAGCGAAGCTACGGCCCATTTTTAGAAATGGTGGTGAACGGTAGCGGTTGGAGCGGGATGTCACTGGCAGTGGTGTGGAATTGTCTTATTAATTTTCTATAAACAAAATCTGGCTTGGTGGCTTCTCTGGCAAGAAAGGGAGCCCAGATTTCCCACGGACTGCAGAGAGACTGAGTTTGAAAACCCTGCCCATCTTGGAGCTGAAAAGGGCTTTGCAGGACGGGGGTCTCCTGATTTGCTGCTTTGCTTGGAGATGGATGTTTCGAGCTGCCGCTGGGATGGACTGGCAGATATCCCTCCGGGGCAGTCCCTGGAGTCATCCTAAGTGGAGATGAGTGAGTAAACCCAGCCGGGTGACTCCTTCCCACCTGACGCTCCGTCAGACCTGGGTGAGTGGAGAGGCACCTCCTCCCCTCCGACCAGGTGTGGTTTGCTGCCGTGTGGTGGTGTGGTTGAGGCTGGAGGACAGTACAGGCTGCCTTCAGCGGCAGCGAGGGTTGACCAGGACTCCCTGGGACCCCTACTGGGCTGCCTACCTTTGGGTGGGGCCGGGATAAGTTCAGAGACACCAGCCTCAGTTGGGGGGCGAGGTGGGTAGGGGCTTCTAGGACGTCAGGTGTGAGCGAGCCCTGGCCCGAGTGCCCCTCACATGGAGGGGTGCCTTGCGTGTCTGTGCTCGGGTTCAGCTTTGGATGAAGCGGTCTGCGTTATGGTTGCTCAGAAGGTGTTGCTGCTTGTGCTCTTCCGGTCCGCAACTGCTGTGTTGAAGGGGGATTTTTTTTTTTTGTGCTGGAATTCTCTCACTGAGAGGTTGGAATCCATTGGTTCTGCGCTGGGATCTTTCAGCTCTGTGTGAAAGGCCTCATTGCTGGTGTGGGGATGCTGAACCTGGCTGGTTGCGGGGAGAGGGATGAAGTCTCTTTGTGAGCCCACCAGTGTTTGGTGGGCACAGCTGGGGGCCTCACAGGGGTTACTGGACAGGTTTCAACCCTGGGGAGGGGTGGGGAGATTCCCAGCTGGTCTCCAAATCCCTGGGCTCTTCAGATTCTGATTTCTTTGGAGGTTTTGGAAATAAGCACTGAGGACAGGTAATCATTACTCCTGGACAACCGAAATGTACGCTGCGCCGAGCCTTTCCAAGTGAAAGGTGTGCTAGCCGAAGCAGTTCTTTCTTGTAGGCTGGCAGTGCTGCTGCTTCATTCACAAGGCTGTTTCAACGTTGGTCAGAGCAATCTAGGATGTGGTGATTCGGCTTTCCCAGAAAATAATTTCCAAGTCACTCATTTATTCATGCTCCCGCGTAGCTGGGAGCGTCACCTGGAAGTATTATGCGCTTCTCATCCCATTTCTCCTTGATGCTGTTTCTGGGTGACTTGGTCCCCTCTGGGGCTCCACCTCGCCCCCTGCCCCTGTAGTTACTGTGAACCGACTGTACCCGCCCCCCGCCATAATTCCCAGTCCCCCTGGTGCAGGACTCAGCCCCCAGCCCCCAGCCCCAGTGCAGGTCTGGAGGTGGCTCTGTGTGGAGTAGACTCATCACGCCTCCCCCGCATGTGTGTGTTGCCCGGCGTCCCCACACCTGCAAGTTACCGATGGTGGGAAGATCAGAGAGGGAGATGCGTGGAAGTGGATGTGAGGGCTTGCAGGGACCCTTGACAGGCCGTGAATAGACAGGAACCAGTTCTGCCGCTCTGGCTGACCACTCTCTCCTCCAGGGAGAGGAACAGGGACAGTGGGAGGATATGGGATCTGTTTGTCGCTTTAGTCGCTGGCATCAGGTGCGGGAGGCCTGGCTTTTCTCCCGCTCATCTTCCCCACTGCCCCCGCCCCACTGTAGACAGGGGTGCCTGGTCCTTCTCTGCTCTCCCCAGGTGACACTGAGATGATCCTGCACTTTAGACAGCGTTGGGGAGTAACAGGAAGTCAGCAATCTTTGAACGGGAAACCGGGCGTTCCTGGGCAAGCCTCTGAATCTGTCAGAGTCTCAGTTTGCACATCTGCATTATGGGTTGGAAGACAGTAGTGTGCTTGGAAACATAAGTGTTAACATATTCAGTGTGAATTTAATAGAAAGTGTGTCCTATTCAGTGCTGTTTCCTTAGCAACCAACGCCGTCTTGCACACATTGCTTAGGCATTTCTAATATTTTATTAAGCAAGCACTAACAGGCGACAGAAGCCAAAGCGTATATCGCTTCCAATAAGCAGTGATTAATATTGGCCAGGGACAGTCCTGTCATCGTGGTCAGCCTCCGTTTCCTCATCTGCAGTGTGGGAACAATATCAGAGTGGCTGGGAGCGTCAAGAAATGCCAGCTGCCGCTCTCCTGCAGAGGGACACTGTTCCTGGAACAGACCTCCCCTCTGTGTGTTTTAAAACCGATCTTAAAAGCGCCCTGTCCTGTGACCTACGTTGACCCATGCTTGTTTTTAATCATAATTTGATATTTGGGTGATGGCTAGCTTTTCTTTATTAAAAAGGATGCTGGTATTTGAGCCTTGAATGTTTATCTTTGTTTATATCTGGTTGTTTCTATAGGATAAAGTCTTAGGAAAGGGATTTCTGGGTCAAAGAATATGGGTAGTGGCAAGTTTTGATAAAAATAAAAATACCCCTATGGAAAACCTACACACACGCACACACGTGCTGGCACACCTCTGCCTACCCTCCTGCTGACTGTTGACAGTCCTCACTTTCTCACACCTGAGAAAAGTTGGGTGCCACCACTAACCTTGTCCATATGGACAGACGGACAGGGTTGCTCTGCTTGTGAGTGATTGAACGTTCTTCTCCTGAGCTTCGTTGCCAGAAGTGCAGCTGCTCCGAGGCCTGTCTATTCCTGTCCTCCGCTTTCTGAACACTCTGACGAGCCCCTTCCAGGCTCTGTGGTTGCCCTGTTTGGCCTCCCTCAGCTCCGAGAGAGCCTGGGTAGGTGGATCTTGGTTAAATGGGCCTCCGCCTTCCGAGAAATATAGCAGGGAATTCATTAATTACCTGCCAGGAAGACTTACCCAGCTCTCCCCTCCCCTTCCTTGCTCTCCATAAGGGAATCAGATTTAATTCTTAATCTGATAATTATCATAAGGAGGCCTGGCATTTACACAGCACTTTGAGAGGTCTTCACCCTACAGGGTAGGTAGGCGGTGAAGGGGATGTTGGATTCAGGGAACCCGCGGCCCACCGTCAGCTGCAGGCAGGTGGGAGCGGCCCAGACGCGAGGCCTTGTGGCCAGGCCGGCCTCCTGCAGCTGGGTGCTTGGAGTCCTTCGGCACCTTTGGGAGCAGCGCTGCCCGGAGGCCACATGGGCGCCGGTGATCCTGAGCCTCAGCCCAGAAAGGGAGGGGATGCTAGAGAGCATGGCCTGGACAGAGATGAGCCAATTTATTTTTTGCTTCCTCGTTTTTATCACCCTCCTTTTAAATCTGCGGCTCCTTCATGGATCTTCCGAGATCTGAGCTAGGCAATTTTTTTTCCCCCTAAAAGTTTATTTATTTATGCATACAGCAACTGCGCACAGGCCAGAGGTCAGGGGTGGTGGTGTGAGGATTTACTGGAGACAGAGGGGGTGCAGAACAGCCGGATCTACTGAGATACCCTGCTGAGGGGAGCAGTGGGAGAAACAGAAGAGGTCTTCTGCACCATGTGAGTCAGCTCCCTGGCCGGGGATCGAACTCATGCTCCAGTGGCTGCTGATAGCTTGACAACCCTGAAACTTTAACCCTTGTGCCACCAGGGAGGTGAGCTGGGCGTATTTTTAGGAACGGTGGAAATGAGCTAGTGTGACTGGATCACCCTCAGCCTGGGGTTTCAAAGGCTGGAGAAGCCTTTCATCTCCGAGCATCTGTAGCAGGTGCACATCTGGGCGTGCGTGGTTTGTACACCTTGCAAGTGTGCACCTGTCCTCGTGAAGGAGAGTGTATGTGTGTGTGTGTTCTGTGGACACGCCCGAGCATTTGAAGCGCCTGGCACTTCCCATTGGGTTGAGCCATGTAACGTGACTGTTTTTGTACGATGTGGACACGGGCACACCTGAGACTTGCCTAGCGACTTGGCTGCCCCTGTTGTTACCGCGTCTGTTTCTTAGGAGTGTCTACAGTGTGTGTGTGCTGGTAGAGCCCAGGCCTGGGGTGCGGGGTCACATCTCCCCCATACCTATTTCCAGGCCCCAATTTTGAGGCTGTGCATATTGACTCTTTAATGGAATTCTTTCACAAAATATTACTTGAACCAGAAAGTTAATTACCAGGCTCTAATTAATGGCTACTTTAGAAGGCCACCGAAGAGAGCTGGAGATCATAGGGAGATGGACAAGGGGAGGAGGAAAACATCTGCCCCCTGGCCGCATGCTGACTCCTGCTCCTTCACTTCTCCCCTGCCCTGTGGGCAGCTCACGGCCTGTGGGTGAAAAGCAGCCCTGCCCAGAGAACCTCTGGTGTTCACCTGCTCTGGCCATTGACCCCCCTGTCTGTGAGGGGAGGCAGAAGCCATGGATAGCAAGCCCATCTGTGGGGTGGGGTAGCAGATCTTCTGAGGCCTTTGAGTAGGAAAACTAACCGCTTTCTCGCCCCTCAGGCACTTTGAGGCTGCGGCAGGCCTCCCTCCCCAAGAGCCTGGGCCTCTGAGGCACTCCCAGTAGGGCCGCAGCTCCACCAGGGGGCCCGGCTGTCCGTGCTCCCCTCATGCCCAGTGACAGCGCAGAGTCACCTACAGGTTTCCACCTAAG